CTGTAAGTACCGCCCTCCAGGTCTTAAAGGCATATGTCTCCAATACTGGCTGTATCCCTGAACACACAGAAATCTACCTAGCTCTTCTAACCACCATGCTCTTGCTATGGCTCTAATAGCTCTGACCCCAGGGCAACTTTATTTATTAACATAAAATTAAAATCACATTTCAGTACAAATAAAATATCACCACATGGTGTAGCTGGGGCTTAAGGGAGGTCTATTCCCAGCTTCCTAAGAAACCACCACGTTGATGTTCATAGTGGCTGTACAAGTTTGCGCTCCCAGCAGCAATGGATGAGTGTTCTCCTTACTCCACATCCTCCCGGCATGAGCTGTCATTTGTTTTATTGACCTTAGTTATTATGACTGATGTAAGATAAAAATCTCAAAGTAGTTTTGATTTGCATTTCCCTGATGACTAAAGATGTTGAGTGTTTCTATTTTTAAATTCATCTTCCTCTTTTGAGAATTCTCTGTTTAGATCTGTACTCCATTTTTTAATCCGATTGTTTCCTTGATGTTTAGTCTTTTTTTTCTTTTTTTCTTTTTGAGTTCTTTATATATTTTAGATATTAGCCCCTATTGGATGTGTAGTGGGTAAAAACCGTCTCCCATTCTGTAGCCTGATGGTTTGTCTGAATGATGGTGTCCTTCACCATAGAGAAGCGTTTTGGTTTCACGAGGTTCCTTTTATTAGTCGTTGATTTCAGTCTCTGCTCTCGGTGTTCTGTTCAGAAAGTCTTTTCCTGTGCTCATGCATTCAAGGCTGGTGTCCATTTGCTCTGCTTTCAGGTTCAGTGTCTCCAGTCTCATGTTGAGGTCTTTGGTCCATTTGGAATTCGGTTTTGTGAAGGGCGATAGGTATGGATCTATTTGGATTTTTCTACAGGACTTTGACCAGCACAATTTGTTGATGATGCTGTCTTCTTTTCCCAGTGTGCACTTCTGGATTTTTTTTAAAATAAAAAATTAAGTGTCAGTTGGTGCTTGGACTTGTGTGTGGGTCTTCAGTTCGTCCATTGATCAATGTGTCTGTTTCTGTGCCAATACCATATGGTTTTTTTTATTACTATATAAGCGCTGTAGTACAATTTGAGATGAGGCATGACGATACCTCCAGCAGTGCTTTTACCACTCAGGAGTATTTTAGTCATTCTGGGGTGTGTGTGTGTGTGTGTGTGTGTGTGTGTGTGTGTGTGTGTGTGTTGTGTGTATGTGTTTCTGTGAAGCTGAAAGTTGTCCTTTCAAATTCTGTGAAGAATTATGTTGGAATTTTAATGGAGATTGCACTGTATCTGTAGATTGCTTTTGGTAAGATGGCCATTTTGATTATATTAAGCCTACCAATCCTTGAGCATGGGAGATCTTTCCATCTTCTTATATCTTCTTCAATGTCTTAAAGTTTTGGGGTTTTTTTTTTGTTTATTTGTTTTTGTTTATGTTTTTGAGACAGGGTTACTCTGTGCAGTTTTGGAGCCTGGGTATAATAGTCTGGGCTGGTATCTGTGGTCTCTTAGAGTTTATAGAACATCTGTCTCGTCTCTTCTGGTTTTTCGAGTCGTCATTGAAGAGTCAGGTGTTAGCCAGGTGTGGTGGCACACACCTTTAATCCCAGCACTCGGGAGGCAGAGGCAGGCGGACCTTTGTGAGTTCGAGGCCAGCCTGGTCTACAAAGCAAGTTCTAGGACGGCCAGGACTGTTGCACAGAGAAACCTTATAGCAAAATATCAAAAAACAAACAAAAAAAGAAAGAAAAAAAATCATGTGTAATTCTAATAGGTCCACCTTGTATGTTACTTGGTCTTTTCCCTGGCAGTTTTTAATATTCTTTCTTTGTTTTGTACATTTTGAGTTTTGACTATTGTGTCAAGGGGACTTTGGTGGCTAAGATAAGGGGACCAAGGTGGTGAGGAAGGTTATAGAAGAAGAGCTGCACGATCTGCTGGGGATGAAGGCAGAGAGGAAGGGGGGGTCACAGCAGGTGGCCAGCTACAGAGCTGGGGATGAGGCTGGGGGTGGGGGCTGGACTTAGAGGAGAAGAGAGAGAAATGCACATTGCCTACCTCCTTCCCTGGCCAGCATCTCCACTAACTTTTAAATTTAAGTTGGATGATTTTACATATATATGCAATGTGTTGTGAAGATATCCACTCTACCTTCTTATCTTCCAGCCCTCCCCACCTACAGACCCCTTATTCTCAACCACTGCCCGCCTACTTCCATGCCTGTGTGTATGTGTGTCCAGGTCTTGTTCGGGTGGCCATGGCTGCCGTGTCGTCATGGTTACTTGGCCATGTCATAGCCAGAAGTCAGGGTTTACCAGGACCCCTCTCTGTCCTCCAGCTCTCACAGCCTGCCTGTCCTCTCTTCTGTGATGGTCCACAGACCTGGGGATGAGCTCGATGTCCCAGTTAGGGTGGAGCCCAGCAGGAATCCACTTTCAGCATTTTGATGTGTCGTGAGTCTCTGTATCACTGTCATCCCCTGGATAAAGAACCCCATGGCCCAGGCACACGGCAGTGCTGGGTTCTTGCCGTTTGTCACCTGGGAGGCTTCAGCCAATTTACGAAATGTTCCATTTCTCTTCTCCGGTCTCTCTAATCTGTTCTACGCAAGCAGCATGAAGGGTTTCTTACAGGTGAGAGGAAACAATACTACTCCACTGTTCTTGAATGCCTTTTCAGTCACAGCCCACAAAACTCAGCCCGAGCCTGGCTCCTCCTCATGGTTCTGATCCCACCTCTGTCTCTTCTGTCTCTGCTTCCCATCAGCTCTGGCTGTGCGGGCTCCAGCTGTGTTTGGTCATCGAAAGTCCCATGTCTTTTCTTCTTCAAGCCTATTCTCTTTGCCTGTAAGACTCCTCATCCAGCTCCTTAAAGGGTTGATTCCTTCTTGCTCTTTCCACTTCATTTTTTGATTAACTGATTGGCTATAGTGCTGAGAGTTAAGCCCCGGGCCTTGTGTGCTCGGCAAGTGCTCTTTCATGGAGCTATAATTCTAGCCTGCCATCTCAATCTGAAAACACTTCCTGAAAGAAGCTACCTGCTAACCTCTCCCTGCTAACCACAATTGACCACAGCACCTTGACCATCTCCTTCTTAGCATCCATAAATGTAATTCTGCATTTGCTAATTTATCTCTCTGTTACTTTCTGTCTTCATACTGTAATGTGAGCTCCATTATGCTTCCTGTGTGGGGGGGGGCAGTATTATGTGTGAGAGTGTATTATATGGGCACACATGGGTATGGATGGGTATGAGTGGGTGAGTGGGTGCTCACACCTGTGAACATGCACAGAGGACATGCACAGCTCCACATTATTTCCCTTGGTGCATGCACGGTCTTTCTCTAAACCTGGAGCTAGGCTGCGGCCAACGGACCCCAGCAATCCTCTAGTTTCCAATCACCACCGTGCTGGGGCTAGAGGTGTGTGCAGCCAAATTAACTTTTGAGGTGGGGGCTGGGATCTGATCTCAGGCGCTCATGCTTGTGAAATAAGCAATTTATCCACCCAAACCTCTTTCCAGCTCCCAGACTGTGTACAACGAGCCTGTTTTAATATCAACACATAACATGTTTCATAAACATGGGTCGAATGGGTAAGCAGATGATTGGCCAGAATCCAAGGGGCACTGAAGTGCAGGTGACGTGAAAAGGTGTTCAGTCATCATCACACCTGGTCTGGAGGTACTCAAACTCTGGTTCCCTCTGCCTTGGTCAGCACAGCTTCGTGTGGACACTGCCACCCGCAACCTGTCTCATCAGCATGGAAGCCAGGCTCTCACCTCAGTCTCAGCAAAAGCAGAGGCAGCCTTGGTAGTCCGCACAGGCTATGATCCCATCCTGGCAAAGAAGGGAGATGTCTGAAACTTTGGGTGCCACATGGGAGAAATTTGAACCTTGATCAGACTCATCTGGGGAGATTTTGAAGGTTCTAAAAAAAAAAAAAAAAAGCCATCTTGGGAGGTTGTGGCCAGGGCCATGTGGGCTTTGTCTCCGCTTTCCAAGCCTTTTCTCTGCCTTGCTGACTTGTCTGAGTTTGCTTTTGACCTTTGCGACATTTAGAGCCGTGGTGGCCATCAGTCAAGAGTGGCAGATGACATGGGAGGCCAGCAAAGCCTCAGCGCCGCTGGTGGCAGTGGTCCCAGTTTTATGAAGTCGCTTTGGAAGTACATTAAAAAGTGGATACAAAGGAGCCTTGAGCTGGTCCAGCCGCTGCAGAAACCCTTCAGGTATTATGTCAATGACTCCATCAACAGCCTTAATGTGTCGCAGGTGGCTGCCTTTTTTTTTTTTTTTTAAGCATTCTCACAAGGCAATCCAATTTAAGTATACATTTGGGCCAAATTCTAATTCTTTGTGGCTCTATGGGGGATGCGAATTCATTAGTGAAAAGGCATGGGGTTCTCTGAAAGGAAGAATTGTCTGCTAGTTAAAGAAGTCAGCCTAGCCGTCTGTGAGTCTCACATCCTGTGTCTGCTCTGTTTGTCCACGGATTGTTTCTTTCCACGGAAGCTGGGTTTCTTCAAGCCTGATAGTTCTTGTCGGTGGGAGTTCTGGGTGAGGAGAACAGGCTCGCAGAGAGCCTCATGCGTGAGAGCCTTGCCTGACACCCAGCCTCATCAGGTTCCCGAAGCCTCAATCCTTGAAGCCGTTCCAGCTTCCTTTCGGGCGAGCCCTTTCCCATGCTTAAGCAGCAGTAAGATGTTTCTGGAACATTCTTTCCGTCTCTGTATACGCTCCCACGAGCCTCTAGCCCACCTTTTGATTTCAATCTAGCGTTACTCATGGCCCGTTCCTAGTAAACACCCATAGTGTGGCGTCCCTCTCTCGTGAGTTGCCCTGAGTCGGGCCTCTCCTTTGTCCCCAGCATCCGAGTTTCTGTTTTGAAACCTTGGTGTCTCTTTTCAAGAATATCTATCTTTTTTTTTTTCTTTTTAAATTGGTAAACCTCATTCTGTCCATGGTCTCACGCTGGAACCCTGTACGCATGAGTCAGGAACCCTGTTCCAGAAAGACTTGGTTCACTTTCTGGCCATTGCCATTGTTTCTTTGAGTAAATCTTAGCTTGCCTGCCTGCCTGCCCAGCTTTTGGCTGTCTGGCCACAAGAGCCAGTCAGGGACTAGAATCTTAGTTTTGAGCCTCAAACTAGGAGGTGAAACCCAGCTAATTGTCTTTAAAATGCTTCTATCTCCTGCCCGCCTCAGCTTCTGAGTTTCATTTTGTCCTCAGTCTTCACTGCGTTTTTCTTCTCTCTATCTCTCCCTGTGTGAGTGAGTGAGTGTGTGTGTGTGTGTGTGTGTGTGAGAGAGAGAGAGAGAGACAGAGACAGAGACAGAGACAGAGAGAGGAGTATATATGGAGTATGCATATGGGTGTTCTTGATCCCTCCTGTGTGTGTGTGTGTGTGTGTGTGTGTGTGTGTGTGTGTGTGTGTGTGTGTGTGTGTGTGAGACTGGGGGCCAGAGGAAGACATTGCTTTTCTCCTGTAGAACTCTCTGCCTTAGTCCCCTAAGACAGTCTCTCACTGAATCTGGAACTCATCATCTTTCAGCTAGGCTGGAAGCCAGCAAGCATTCGTGATCTTGTCTCTACTTCTCTCCATCCTCAGGGCTGTGCGCACATGGCCACTCTTTGGTGCTAAGGATCTAGCTCAGGTCCCCAGACTTGTTCAGCGAATGCTCCTTCCCACTGAACCATCTCCCAGCCCTTCACTAGCTTTTCCTGGTTCCTAATTTCCCTGTCACGTGGCTTTGAGCTCTCTGTTGCAACCGTTCTTATGATTGCCAACTCTTCCCCCATTTGTGCCTTATTCCCACACCTCGAGACAGTGTTCTGTCTGCAGACAGCGCTCCTCAGCTCCTGGCACTGGGTCTCTGTCTTTGCTGTTTCCTGGCCTCATTCCTCCAGCAGGCTCCACGTCATTTCATTCTTCACACTGTCTGGATGTCCCCTCAGGCACCTGGTATAGTTAGGTGATCCTGCAACCTTTGGAAGCTTACAGATTGCATTAGTTACTCTTCTGTTGCTATGATAAAGTAGCGTTACCATGGCAACGTATAGGTTTCAGAAGGGTGAGTCCATCATGACATCACCAAAGATGTCTGGCATGGTGGCGGGAGCAGGAAGCTGAGAGTTCACATCTTCAACAGGAAACAGGAAGCACATCGAGAGAGAAGGAGGAATAGGGCAAGGCTGCATACTCTCAAAGCCCACCACACCCAGAGGCACCCCCCTCCCCAAACCTCCCCCCCAGTAACCCAAACGGGACCAAGTGTTCAAATGCCTGAACCTGTGGGGGAATATTTCTCAGCCTAAACCCCACACAGATCTCAATCTGTTGAAGTGATCTAGACTCAAATCCAGAATTATTATCAGAGGGTCCTGAGAATTAGCAAAGTCCCAGGAAAATAGTTGTCTTCTGGCCACACTAATTGAGATGTGTTTTCACTGGCTGAGTGACCCAAATGAAATTTTTTTACATATAGTTTTAAAAACTGACTTCAGGTTATCAGAGCTGCTTTTGTCCTACTGTATGAAATAGGAATCTCTTCAGCAATATCCTAACTAGGGTAGCCTGGCTACTCTGTCTGGTCTTTGGAACAACATTTACAAAGAACTTAGTACATCTCGGGTATCTCACTGTCCCCTGGCTGGGTGGATTGTTAAAGCCTGAGGTCCTATTCTGAAGGGGCAGTGGTTCTGCAGACTGGTTTTTCTTTGCTCCTATTCAAGTCCAAATAGTACTTAAGAATTTATTTCTGTCTCATGTTAATAAGAAACACTTTTAGAGGTCAATGAAATAGTACTGTGTAATTGAATACCATGACCTAATTCCCCGTTCAGTAGAAGTCACCCATATTAAAACTGATTTCCCTCAGAAGAGAGATGAGGTAGAATTAGATACTTACAAGAAATATTCTCAAATATTCCGTGTTCCTGGGGAAACTATTGTGCAGGTGGTTCTATTTCTTAAATAGTTGAAGACGCTTTGTATGTGGGCAGCGCTAAGCAACATCAGGTCAGGAGCCTGGCCAGTTGAGCAGGGAGATAAAATCTGGCTTGTAGGGAAGAGGCAGAACCAAGTGGGGCTCAGGGGATCTGTCCGCCAGCTAAGGAGGTATCAATGCTGTGAAACGTGCGTTCAGAAAATACAGAAGAACATGAGGTGGAAACTTTAGGAGGAGATAATCAGCTACCACAAAGGTAATGTTGCTTAGGAAGACTTTCCCAGTGTGTTTGCAGCGGGTAGTGTCTGTTTGGAAGGTCAAAGGTCACTCCAGAAGGTGTCATTTTTTTTCTGGATGCTGGGGGTCCACTAGGATGAGCCAGTCAACAGGACTGGAGTACCCTGACGCCACCATGTGTAGGCATTGAAAAGGCATTAGACTCTGGTTTGAAAGACACTGGTTCCAGCCTCACTACTTATTTGGATGTGTTTGGAGAGAACAAGCCACCCTCCCAGAGCCCGATTCTTCTTTTTAAGAAGTAACAGGACACAGTTAATAAAGTCAGAGGATGAATTTGGATGTTTTTGAGCACAGAGCGAGCATGCTACAGCCATTAAAGTTAGAGCTTCCTAAACAAGGAAGCCTTAGAAACCCCAAAAGGAAAATCTAGCGATTTGCTCCTCAGATGTCAGCTGCATAAAGGGGGCAGAGCAGGGAGAGGCTGTGTTTTCCTGTGCAGATCTGCTCAAGGGTTTTGTGCCATGTTTTGTCAGCTGCTAATAATGGAAGTTCCTGCCAAATATGAATTAATAATAACGCTAAGTCTCAACTTTTCCTGGCTGCCCTAGCCGCAGAGCCTAATGGCGTGTGCTTTTCTAAGACTTGCCTCTGTGGTTCCAGTTCAGTCCATCACACAGCTCTACAGGTCTTACAGGTCCCCCTGACCCATCATACATTACTATGGAAGAGAGATTATGTTTTAAATGATCTTTGTTTTTAGAACAGTTTTAGATTCACAAAAAAAAACCTTATAAAAACAGTTCAGTGGCTCCTCATAGGCAGGGACCCCACTTCTGATCCTACATAGTACGTTAATATTTGTACAATGTACAGTGAGTGAACCAAGATGTCTTATTTTTAATGAATGTTCTTATTTTATTTAGATTTGCTTGCTTTTCAACTTTTATCCCTATCCTGTTCCAAAATCCCATCTAGGGTCACATAGTGTCACCTTCCTGCGGTTAGGCCCTCTTAGGCTCCTCTTAGGTGTGAGAGATTCCCACTATTATGGTTTGAATGTGATATGTCCCCACAAGCTCGTGTTTGAACACTCAGTCCCCAGTTGGCAAAGCTTTTGGGGGATGGTATGGAGTCTGTGGGATGTAGAACCTAGCCGGCATACAGCTTGAAGGTTAGAGCCCAACTTCATTTATGGTCCCATTCACTGCTTCCTGAACACCCCTGGGATGATGCAACCATCCACTGCCAGCTCTCACTGCCATCAACTGACCAACACCAGCCTCCATGATCGCCCAGCCTCAATATACCCTCTAAAATTGTGAACCAACATAAACTTCTCTCTTAAGTTGGTCAGGGTTTTCTCACTAATCTCCTAAATTTCCTTGCCTTGGATAACCTTGACCATCCTGAGGCATTTTATAGGATGTGCCTTTTTTGGAGTTTGTCTGATGTTTTTCTCGTGATTGTCTGGGGATGTGGACTTCAGAGAAGGGTACAGTGGGAAGGGACCATTCCTACCGTGCCTTACCAAGGTTCATGCTATGAAATGATTTGTCGATATTGGTGACTCTGGTCACTTGTCCCAGGCAGTGATTTCACTGAAGTGGGTTTCTCCATGGTCAAGGTGTTCTGTGTTCTCATGTTGTGTTCTTCTGAAGGAAGCCATTTATGTGCAGACAGTGGTGCCATCTGTAAGGGGATGGGGCAGGGAGAGTGTTCTGCTCCCTCAACCAGAAAGTAGAGATCCCATCAGTTATTTAGAATTCTTCTGTGTGAGCATTTTGTCCTTTCTATGTCCTTCCTTCTGTCCTTGGTTTTCACTAAGGATCCATTCACAGTTATTATGTATTTTAGATTGCCATCCAATTCTACTCTAATTTTTGTTCAAATTGTCGCATCTCTGGGTATTGGGTACTCTTTCAGCTGACTCTTGTGTCCCTTTGTAACATCTCCTTATGATGCTTAATTTTGATTGGCAGCCTGATCAGATGAGAAACACTGGGCTATTTTAGTAAGCCTCACGTTTGGGTGTGTCAATGACAGGCTTTGGGATTAACTGAGGAGGAAGACCCACTGAATTTGGGCACCACTCTCTTATAAACTGGGACTCTGTTCCCGAACACAAGGGAGAAAGGAGAAAGCCAGCTGAGCACCAGCAGTTTCTTTTCTGGGCTTCTTGATCTGCTGAGATGTGAGGAAGCAGCCTCCTGTGGCCACAGACAGCAGGTGGTCCAACTGCTGTGCCCTCCCCATCACAGTGGAGTATGTTCTCTGGACCACGAGCCAAAATACACTCTCCTCCTTGAAGCTGTTCTGTCCCCGTGATGAGGAAAAGAGCTAATACACTCCTTTGTTGTGGGGTCTTGCTTTTATTTTGGGAACATTTTCCTCATAATATAAGCTATTGCAGATGGTACAGGAAGAGGGCTCAGTGGGAAAAGTACTTGCTGTGTAAGTCTGAGAATATGAGTTCAGTAGGCAAAGGCATTTGCCACCAAGTCTGGCAACTGACCTCAGTTCAGACTCTGGATCCTACATGGTGGAGGAAGAGAACCAAGTCCAGCAAGTTGTTCTCTGATGACCACAACTACATCACGGCCTGCACACACTGTCCGTCCCCACCCCCCACCGGCCCCACATGCATGATAAATACATGTAAAAATGAAAGGCTGTGAGCGGCAGTGTATACCTGTAGCACCAATACAAGAGTGAGGGCAGGGCTTGAGACAGGCAGATCTCAGCGTATCTCTGGCTGAGATATAGAAAGGTCCAAGTTCAGTGAGCAACCCTGTCTCAAAAATAATAAGGAAAATACCTAATATCAGTCCCCCATCTCCACATATGCACACAGGTCCATGAATACCAGCACACACATACATCTAGCAAAGATACAGAGAGAGAGAGAGAGAGAGAGAGAGAGAGAGAGAGAGAGAGAGAGAGAGAGAGA